GCCACACATCGCCGGATACTTTGAACAATGTAGCTGGCCCCGAAGCTGCAAGCTCCCGCAAGGCCCAAAGCCCTGCCTCCCAGTGCCTGAACCTTTTGTTTGGAGCTCAACAGTCGGGCCCAGTCTCCATCAGCCTTCACGGTTTCGGGCTCCAGAGCTTCCAGGGTTCAGGGTACTGCTTAATTCTTGATGCAAACTTAATCTATTGGAAACCGTAGGCTACGAACCCTTAACTCCTCAATCCCGAAAGCTTCTTAAAGCCCTAGGGCCCTCAAACCTCGAAGCCCTAAAAGCGCACACCTTGATCCCTAAACCATCGTGCCTGCCGAGTTTGGAGCTCTGGGCTAGTGGCATCCCTGGCAGCGACACGGCTTGTTCAGGAACTACAGTTTGAGTTGCCATCAGAGGCATGTGTAGCAAGTCATCTGCTTTCTGTGCCATGATAAGTTGCAAAGAAGTTCCGTAACCAGAGCCTAATTACAGCTGAGATTCCGTGGTTCAGGTTATCGGGTTCCAGGGTTTAGGAGTTTTTTTTTCAAAGGCGGTCGTGCGTTTTGCGAGTTCCGTAGGCTTTCGGGTCTCCAAGCCGCACATGATTGGCGCGGCTTGCAACCATTTTGTTCTTGAGCTGGTTTGAGTTCCCCACGTGACTTTTCGTCCTGGTGTGGCCGGCAGATACTTTTTTTAATTTAATAGAAGCAAGAGTCTGAAGATTCACAGTTGGGTGCTTGGGTTAGTCTCTTTCAAGTCTTCGTTTCTAGGCCGCGGACTCGCGAACTGAGTGGCTCGGTCGTGTGAAAAACGCCCGACCGACATAGCAGCTCGGCTCATTGCAAGGCATTGCTGATAACTCGAGTTAGACTTGTTAGAGTCCCTGACATTGCCAGCCATGATCGCTGCTTCCCTTCTGCTCTTGGCCGGTGCATGGTTGGGCATGCAGCTGCAAGGATGTGGCTCGAGTCGCCCAGTTCATGCACCGGCCGGGCCTTCACCCGAGCTATTGAGAGAGTTGGAGAGCTTAAAAGCCGAAGTGAGAGAGCTTCGAAGCGAGAGATCCGAGCTACGAGACATCGAACGACGACAGGAAGAATTGGACAAGAAAGAGAAACAATGGAAAGAGTTTGAGGCCGAGTTGGACCGCCAGGAAGCAGAGGCACGCAATTATCCTGTACCCGAGTTCCTCAAGGCTTCTGGACACACTGGTAAGGTCAACATCGCCATCACCGGTGCTTCTGGCACGGGAAAGTCTCACTTGAACAACTTTTTGCGTGAAGTCAAACGACGTGATCCTACGTGGGCACCAGTTGGCGTAGTGGAGACCACTCAAGAACCGACAATGTACGAGTTCCCTGGTCAGGTGGGATCTGCCCGGTGCTGGGACTCCGACGTGGCCGCTGGCTGACTACATCAGGAGGGTTGGTCTCCGGCACTTTGATGCGGTGCTCGTGGTTTGTGCGGAGCGCTTCACAGAAGCCGACCTCAAGATCATGGAGGACGCAAGCGTGCTTGTGCACTTGTAGCTTTGGTTCTGTAGTTCTGTGAAGAGTCTGGTGGCATCTGCCTTGTGAAACATCTCTTGACATCGTGAGGAGCTGACCCAGTACAAGGTGCCCTTTTTTGCCATACGCCAAAAGGTCGGCCAGGCCATCGAGAACAACCTGAAAGTGAATGAAGTTCCAGAAGGAAGCACCAAGCAGGAGATCGTTAACTACTTGAGAAAGCAAGGCGGGGCTGCTCGTCGGTCTTGCTGTTTGCGGAGACATAGAGCAGACACGGACCAAGCTACATAGTATGAGCTGGAGTGCTAGCAGTGGTCTGTAGTACCGTAGCATTGCCCATCGAAGTATAGTAGTGATGAGCCCCTCTTTGTCATCTGCTTTTACAGAAGACGGTCTGAGGGCCAATTAACTGACTTTGTTCGACTGGGAGCTGTCCCTTCCCAAGCTTTTTGGGTTTGGGATCTGCAGTGGTTCAGGTGACAAGGCTGTAGTAACGCAATCGTCTCCTGACTCCCAATCACGAAGCATGGTTCCGAGAGCCTACGTTTTTTGTTTTCCGGAGTTTTGCGGCTCCCCAGGGGTTGAGAGACCGTACCTGATCGACTCCTTCGAGCCTACGAAGCACGACATGCCGAAGTTGCGCCGGGAGCTCGTTGCCGCCATCACCAGCGCTCGCGGTGGTGAATTGTGAGCCGGTCGGTAGTTTGAATGTGTTTATAACTCGAGGCCCAGACCGGTCAGTAACCGAGTAACCCTCACGACCAACAAGTCATTGGCCTCTTTCTTTGTTCGTGCTGTGTGCCTCTGTATATGTATACGTTGATCACGGTGACAGCCGTGCAACCAAACCAGCTCTGACGAGCTTTCCTTTTGTGTGGGACTTCTGGCTAACTTGCGCAGTTGAACGCAGTTGCCAGGAAGTGCAGCTGCAGGAGGGGCATTCACAGGTCGCATGCAGCTGGCTTCAAAACAAATTCGGCAGATTCCGAGCAGGCTTGCGGCATTCAGTTGAACATAGCACCCACTGAAAGGTCCAATACTTCCGAGTAGTTTGGATGATTGCAGAGTTGTAGGTATGTTATGATGCATGCAACGGTCTTCATCTCGGTTTGCCGCACCTTGTAGACGTGCGTACTTCCTCCACCGGGGTCCGACAGTCTTACTAGCAAAACTATTATTCCGCAGTGTTCCTTCCCACAACCATAGTAGAGAAGCCGCCAAAGCTTGCTGGGGCCTTGAAAATTAGAGTAGAGTTCCCTTACAGGAACCCTAAAGCCGAAAGTCTATATATATATATATATATAGATAGAGAGAGAGAGAGAGATATATATATATATATACATATAGGTATATAGATATATAGGTTAGATTTCATTTGGGTCAACTGAGAGCCCAGGTGCTCGCAGCTCTACTCACATCCTCGGCAGCAGGGCCGCTCAGCGAGGCGTTGTGGTGCTCTCAAGTTCCGGCATCAATTTAGGGGCCTAGATTACTACCTATACTTATAGCTTAATGTACCCTAAAACTTTATTCTCATTATTAATGCCCCTATATTTTGGAGCCCTAGATCCCTAAACCCCGAATCCCTAAAGCTCTATCACCCGCAATCCCGACGTCCCAATCGACCCCAACTCAGGGCTTTCCAGAACGTCTATGGGCCGATGATAAACCTACAAGCCCCTTACAAAACCCTCTTACAGAACCCTCATGGCAGCCCTATGGGTTGGTTTTGTTGAGAGTTCTCGTATGTAGGGGCAAAGACTCCCTAGCCACGCTTTGGTCCCTGGGAGGCGAACCGAAGGCGATTGGCGGAGGCCGTTGGCTTTTTGGGGGGGCGTCTTCTTGCACAAGGGATTAAAAGGGGCTTCAAGTTTTGCAAGGCTAAAATTGAACAGATCAGATTTTACGGGAATTTCTAGAGGGGTGCACACGGTTGGGAAAACCGGGTTTAGGGTCCAAGGTATTTTTGCATATAGCAAGGTAATGATGGCCGGGATCTAGGGTTGAGGGCAGGGCATGACGGTCAGTACCGGCACCCAGCCAAAGTATCTAGGTCCCAATGTTGCTTGATTCGCGCCAAAGAGCTGGCAGTTCAGAGTCCGTGGCTGAGGCGGGTGGGGGGGCTAACCTAAGCTCCGTACGCTGACAGAAATGGGCCCGATCAGTCAAACCACGACACCCCAAGCCGGTCTTCTCAGTTTCCCGTTCCATCACGAGCTTCTTCGAAGCGACAGTTAGATCCAACAACAGGTGCGCGACAAGAAAGCTTTGCACTCGCAAAGACCCTGAAGTCTGAAATCCGACCTCAAGCTGGGGATAGCCTGCAAGCCCGAACAAACTCCCGAAAAAGCCTGATCAGCGGCTAGGGCTCGAACCCGAATCCTCACAGATTCGAAGAGCCACCGAACACCCTAAACCCTAAATCCTGCTGACACGAAACGGGGGCCCTTTAAAAGAAACCCTAAACCCTCAAAGCTAAAGGACCTAAGACCCTAAACCCTAAACCCCAGGGCCCCCAAATCCTGCCATGGCTCGCCGGGTCCTCGCCGAATCCGGCTTCCTCGAGCCATTGGGGCCCGAGGCTTTGGAGCAGCGCCTGGGCTTTGGGCTTAACGCAGAAAGGGTCGGAGTCGTACCTAATAGTACTGTTCATGAGTTTTCCTGAGATTTCCTGATTATGATCAGAGTATAACATAAATATACACAAAAAAGGCCCTTTCTGATTGTTGAGGCCGTTTATATTGGGGCATTACGGCTTGTGGGCTTAGAGTTCCGGGTTTCTTGAGGCATGGGGGGCCTGACGGTTGGGTTTGGGGCTTCGGGACAAGGTTACAGGTTTAAGGGTGTTTAGGACTTCAGGGTTTGTGGCTTAAGGTTTTTTTGTTTAAATTTTGGCTTATAGCTTTTTGAGGTGTGCGGCTTCAGGGTTTAGAGTTTTTTGACTCCAATCGATCCTTCCAATCAAGGGCACACTTTCATTACGATTTGCGAAGTATTGGTAAATCAGGCGGTGTGCTATGGGAAAGGCAGAAAACAAGTGGATCAGAATGTCACTTTCATGAACAGAAAGACCCCAAATCCCTTTGAGGGTCGGGGCTTAAGGGTTTCAGTTGCAGAGGCGCTAACATGCTTCCGACGCTTTGGGGAGAGTTACTGATATTCAACTGACCTCTCGTGAGCTCAGATGCTTGAAGGATTTCACGCTCGGATCGAGTACCTAAGCCTAGAACAGGATAAGACTGGGCGTGATGGACGTGTATGAAGGGCTTCTCGAGTGATACTGGTGTCATTGCTTGGCTCTTGAAGAAAGCGCAAGTGTCCGAGGATTTCGAGAAGCTTGCTGCCTCTATGTCTAGCAGGTTTAGCAGTACATAGGCTTTATGCTCCCCCGAAGAGTCTTGGTGCAGCCTTCGTGTAGCTTCGCGGTCTGTCTCGGTGGCTTCGTACCACTCGCAGACCTCGGCAAAATGACCCGCAAACCTTTTGCGAGCAGCTGTGGAGGTATTCCTACTTCGGTGAGCTCCTGGGCAGCAAGCAGAGGACCAGCAACACCGCCACCACCACCACCGCCGCGTTCTTGCTAAACAGTGACAAGCTTGAGCCCTCAACCACCAGCTGTCTCCAAGCTCTGGTTTCCTCAGGGCATCCAGCAACGACAGCCAATGAACAGTGTTTGAGTGTTGTTGTCAGGCCCATTGGCCACAACTCCGTACATTCTACACTCCGTAAAGCCGAAGGCCCAGCACTAAATCCGTACAGCCCGAAGCCCTAAATCCCAAATAGAGGCAAGTAGAGGCTGTGAAGTCACGGAGGCTCGATTGACGTGGGGCATTCAAGGCACACTTGAAAATTCATGGGCCGGTTACAGGTATGCTTAGGGCTTGAGGTTTACGGCTGATGGCATTTAGGTTTTAGGGGGAGAAGGGTTGAAGCTGTGCCTGTTTCGTAGCCGAGTCGTCAACCTTTTTAACATGTTTCGCTTCATTTTGTCCTGCGATGGTTTAAACCTAAATGGTGGCTAAGCCCGTCTGCGTCAGGGAACTCAGCCGCCAGGGCGCTAGGCTGTAAGGGGCTTGAAGCAACCCTTCACCAGAAACAGGGTTAGTGGTTGCTCAGTTAGAAGTTGAAGCAGTCAGTTAGTAGACATGGTGCTCAAGAAGCTCCTTTTTTTTTGGAAGTCATTGAAGAACCCAAGGGCTTTCACGAAGGGGTACAAGCGAGCCCTAAACCCTAAACCCTAAACCCTAAACCCTAAACCCTAAACCCTAAACCCTAAACCGTTCCTGTGGGCTTGAGCCGAGGATCGTTGCTTTCGAGCCCGACGGCCCCACCAAGATCCCGAGCTGGGGAGAGGCTGCTGCCCTCTTCAGGCCTGGGCTTAGGGCTTAGGGCTTAGGGTTTAGGGTTTAGGGTTTAGGGTTTAGGGTTTAGGGTTTAGGGTTTAGGGGTTTCTTCGTGGTTTCTTGCAGCTTTGCTCGGGGTTTATTGTTGTTGAGAATTCGGGGGTTTGGGGCTTTCGGGCTTCTTCGGCTGATCTGCTTCGGGTGTTGAGTGTTGAGGTCTGGGGTCTACTGAGTCTCCTGCTTTTGATTTTCATTGTGAGATTGTGAGGGTTTCCTCAAATTGTAGGTCCCGTGAGTTACAGAGAGGGCTCATCAGGGATTTGAGAGGTCTATGGTTCGGGGTTCAATTTTACATACCAATCTTCGGGGCCTGGCGCAGACTGCCTGGTGCGTCTTATGTGTCATGCATCGCTAACTGCCTGGGAAAGGAGAGAGAAATGAACCTATTCCTAAACCCTCGAACCAAACATCCGTAAATCCTAAGCCCTAAGTTTGAGCCGGAGCCCATAACCCTCAACCCTCAACCTCGAGTGAGGCTAACGTAGATCCAGGAGCGCTTTTCACCACGAGCGAAAGACCACAACCTGGATGACAAGTCTTTTTTCTGACAAGCCACAGGGGCCCGAATCCTTCGTCACAGTATCACTTCAGACGTCCTTAATGATATATGCATGGTGTAGAAGTTCGTACTCTTCGTACTCGGTTTGGCTTCACTATAATTTGCCGCTTCGAAGGCTCATCAACCCCAGCCTCCGCGTTCTCCGTAATCTGTCCGCGCACGTGCAGTCTGCAAATCGCTTGGCTTTGTCTCCGTGTGTGTGTTCTGTTCAAGATGGCTCCTGTGCGCCTGACGTTGACCTGCTGGAAGGTTCTCGAATCCGATCTCTCTTGCCAGTGTGATCTGGCGCCCTTACTACTACGCCACCTGATCCTTGCCCGAATTGCAGATGCGCTTGGCTTGCTCTTCGGGTTTCATGTTTATGAGTGTCGGATCAAAGGTGAAAGTTCGAAGCGGGGTCCTGGACGTGTTTCCGGATGCATGGGGAGAGAAAGAGTCCTCTGAAGTGTTATAAGCAGCCTGCGCAAGCCTACCAGTGAATATTAACCACTGCCCCCGGACTTCTTGAGCCCTGAAACCTGGCCTCAGAAGTATCAGTTAGGGCTATAGCGGCTACAGTGGGCCAATAGTCATTTGAGTCATAGCTGTGTTCGCAGCTTCCTTATCCGTCCTGTCCAACCTTGCGCCCCAGAACCCCAAAGGCTAAAAACTAACACAGGAGATCCTGCGTGCCTGCGTACAGCCCGAAAGCCCTAAAACATTTCGAAGCCCTATACCCTCAACCCCAAAGCTGAAACGCCACGACCCTAAACCATAAAGCCCTGAAGGCTTAAGGCCGTACGTGGCCTCGTTCCAAGGTGAGGTCTCTCTTCCTGCGCATCGTGAGTGGCAGGCAAGATGTGTAAGCTTGGGCGTGTTGAATTAAAGAGTGCTTGCGAGTTTAGCCTCGAGCGTAGGTGGGTTTTGAGTTTATGGCCCAGGGTTTAGAAGTCATAGTTGCGGTTCAGCTTGGTGGTTTAGGGTTCAGTTCAGTTCATGGCGGTGGTGCCGGTAGTGTTAGTAGCCGTCATCGTCATGGTAGAAGTAGCAAAACGTCAACATCAGTCATAAATGCCACTTCAGTCATAACAAGACTCACATACAAGGAATGGCCACGCGCCCAGTCTAAGACTTGATCAGCACAGCATCAAACATGCAGCATCGCTATGCATGGTAACTCTGATGAGGAATAGTAGTAGCACCAGTCTTCGTAGGGATGAATAAATCCTAAACCCTAGACCCTAAACCCTAAACCCTAAACCTTAAACCCTAAACCTTAAACCCAAAAAAAGAGACTTCTCCCGACCTAAGTCGGACCCCGGAAGGTGCTTCCACCCACCCCGGGAGAGGCTCGGAACCTGCAGAGCGTGGGTTATTCGGGGTCTACCCATAGGCCCCATAGTAGTTCCTTTTTGGGGTTCATATATAGAATCCTATTAGGTAATCCCAAAAAGGAACTACTTTAGGGCCTATGGGTAGGGCTGTAGGATTCTTAGGGTTCAGGGTTATTCTGGGTTTTGTGGTTCAGGGTTCTACGGGATTCAGGGTGTTCAGGACTTTAGGTGTGTCGGGTCTACCGGCCTGGATACTGGTGGTTTGGAATGTGGGGCTTGATGTTTGAGAGCCGCACGTCTTCTTGGCTTCGGGTTTCGATTGAGATGCTTTTTTTGAGTTTCTTGGGTACTGTCTTGAGCGATCTCATGTTGCCGTCCACTCTGCGGCCCGAGCCAGGAGGCGCAGACCGGTGACAGTTGAGAGCATACAAGCCGGGCCAGGATGCCAGCCAACCCTCAAAGCCCTTCTGAAGGGTGTGGGGTATCGCAACCCGGAGCCTAAAAATAGAGCTCTACTACAGCTCTAGATTCTCTAGTCTAACCCTAACCCTGCCTCAAACCCCAAGCCCTGGCCCCAGGAGCCTCTCTAGCGAAAAGTCCCTGAGAGGTCCCGTCCGAATTTGAGGCCGTGCCGTGGTCCGGCGAGCGAATGTGCAGCTCGAAGACGAAGGTTCTGCAACACCCCAACACCCTGAACGAGGAGGGGCTGCTCTTTACTAGGTGCTCCATACGTAGGATGCAATCTCTCTATCAGGGTCTTAGATATCCCTAAACGCTGAACCCTAAACCCTATACTGGACCCTTAACCCTAAACCCTAAACCCTAAGACCTTAATCCAAAACCCAACCCTAAAACCCTAAACCCTCAACCCTAAACCCTTTTGGGATACTGTGATACAAGCGCACTAAGCCCCAGCCAGGGCTTCGGGGGCTCAGCTCTATGCTTTGGGTTCTAGCCTCGGAAGAATGGTTGGTTCATACTTGAGGTTGAAAAACTTAGGGTTTAGGGTTTAGAGGCAGTGAAGCCCTGTTTAAATCAACCTGTGTAAACCCCAGTTCGAGCCCTGGACGGAAATCGAGAACTGGAAGCCCCGAATCCCTGAAGCGCTAAATCCGTCAGACGACCCCAAACTCGATGGCTTTCCGCCAGTCCTCCCCACACCTCCAACCTGTAACCCCAACGCCAGAAGAAGCTGAAGCGAAGCTGCTAAAGCCTAAACCCAAAGCTGAACGCAAGAACTCAGGTACTCAGTGTGCGTCTCTTTCTGGCGCTTTCACCTCGAAGCGGGCTTATGCCCGATGGCCTCGATTATTCGGGATTTAGGGTTCACGGTGCTGCTGTAGGACTGTGGGACCAGGGTCAGTGCACGAATTAGCAAGTAACTAGTCGAACTAGTATGAACTAGTTGTGGCACGACTTCTTCTTCTAGTGCCACTGTCCCTTCCTCTGCGTCGGCTGCGGTTGTTCATAAGTTCTATGGCTGTTGGCATGATTCGTGTGGAGGTAATACTGTTAATCACCTCGTACTCATCGAGCACCTGCATGTATCTGGAACGGATCTCACTCAGCTCTGCATTGCAGCTGCCACTGCTTGTCCTTGCTCTGCCACCCGCGGAAACAAGGATAATCAATATCAGGCCTGTGGCAAGTCTCCGGATCCAAGGGCATCTTAGTGACAACTGCAGCCGTACAGCCCGAGGCCCTGGAACCTGAAGGCCCATGGTCAGCCCGATGCCAGATTTGGAAGCCCGAGAGTAGAATCTTCGTAGGCGTGTAGGATCCCAAGACCTTGAAGGTTTTCAACCACCCGCTGGAGCTGCATCTGGAGCATCGGCAGGCCTGTGGAGATTCTGCAACTGGGAGCAATTGCAAAACTCTGCTTTTAGGTGGGGGCGAATGAAGGCGGTCAGGACGCACCCACACAAGGCTGTCGATAAGAAAATCGATGTCGGCGGCCTCGCGATCCCAGTCGTGCTCGTCGTGTACATCTTGACCATGACTGCTGATGGTGGTCACGAGGACGACGACTACGATGATGTTGTTGTTGATGATGGTCACGAACATGTAAGCTGTCATCATAGGTGTCATCCCCATGTTGCATTTATTGGGTTGCACACGCCCACACAGAATCAACATCAGCAGCAGCAGCACCACCACCATCACCAAGAGAGACCATCGATTTCTCCGTAGTCCAGTCATCACTATGTCAATGTTCTTCTCGGTCGTTGTCAGTCCCTGGTATTTCCGAGCGATTGAGATAACACAAGACCTGATGAATTGACAGCGTTTCCCATTCGCATTGTGTACATAAACGTAGAAGAGTCGTTTTTTGCCCTTCTTTCGGAGCAGCAACATCTTCATCTTCATTCAGTCTTCAGCAACAGCAAGTTTTTGTTTTATTATCCTTGCTAATATTCCCCAAGCCCTAAACCCTCATCTCTAAAGTTGGTCCTAAAGCCCAAATTCGTAACCTTCATCCGGAGCAGCTTCCGTGGGAAGGTGGAAATGCCTGCGCCGGCTGACCCCGTGCCGCCCAGCGCTTTGGATCCAACTAACGGTTGCGTGTTCCGGGGTGTTAATGCGGCGCTTGATGCCTGCATCGACTTTGAAGTGTGCATGTGCGGGTAGTGCAAGATTTCATCCATCCGTCGTACTACCCCTTCTCCCACTCCTACCGCTACTCCTGCTTCGGCTGCTTCTGCTGCTGCTGCGCCTACAAAAAGAAGAACATTGGAAAACCACCAGCTGCAAAAACATTCGCAGTCGCAGTGCTACTCAGGGTTGTTGAACAGTACTGGTGACTCTCATGATGTTTTTACGCAATCAATGCCCAGCGCGCTCGCGCCTGGATACCCTTACAACAGCATCGCTCTGTCGTGGGGCTATTTCAGCCCCTCAGCCCCGCAACCCATCAACCCTGAACCTCAACCCTGAACCTCAACCATACACGTAAATCGACCGTTCCCGCCGAGGATTGGTGATGCAGGTATTGCGCCTGGATGGCTGGGAGCGGCATTTCCTGGAGGGTGGCCTTGCAGGGATATGGCGAGGGCTGTCTGAGGCTTTTGGATCATTGAAGTAAGGCTATACTGTAGGGACTTATGTGGCTTCGGGATATGTTGGTCCAGGATTTGATGAGGCAGGGGGCAAGTTGTGACTTGCGGCGGTGGTGGGTTTTCATAGGTTCTCCGGTTGTGTACGTTTGGCGTCTGGGAGAGTGGGCTTCAGGATCTAAGTTAGGATGGACTGCCCGGCCCGATCCAGAGGTCCTCAACCAGGCTCCCCCCAAGTTTGGGATTTCTGACTTCAGAACGCAGGCGGATGGAAGAGGCACGCCTTCAGGAACAACCCATGCCGTCGGACGACAGCCCCCACATGGCAATCCCTAAAGGCCCTAAGCTGGGTTCTTGTCAAGGAACTTATTTTTTCTTCAAGTTGCCATAGTAAATCATGTGGTTTCCTGATTATGTAAGTTATAAGAAGCAGCAAAAGTCTTGAACCCCAAGCCTTTAGCCCGCTTCCTGAGCTCATTCGCCACAAGCCGTCAACCACAGCCCAGGGTACACCTTCGTGGACTTACCCAGACAGCCAGGAGCCGGGCACTACTTATTTGCTGTAGGTTACGACAGTTTGCAGCTGTTTCTTTGGTGAAGATGAGGGTGCTGACGATGGTTTAAGTGTTCATGCCATGTAGCTCATCATCATCGCTGCCCATCGTACGGAGGTCCTTATAGAGTCCCTGGCCACGTTGATGAGCGCCCTCCTTTGGCTATCCCATGGAAGCACAGCACGGCACACGTGTGGTGATTCCAAAACGGCGGTGAGCGTTCTGGTTGGCAGCAAAACCGGGACCATACCATGATGACCTTAACATGGAACCCTCTACTTCCGTATCAGGTGTCATTGTCTAGCAACTGTCTCTCGTAGAACCAATCGTATTGCAAGGCCTCGCAGCACAACACCCCCCAACGGTAGACCTTGAATTCTAGAGCTGCACATCTTTACGCCCCTAAAGCCCGGAGCCCTGAACCTAAAACTTCAAAAACTCAAGCCTTTCGCCAGGGGCGTCAAGCCCGAACACCCTAAACTGAGCTTACCCCAACACTTCAATCCCCACACCCGTCAAGCTCGAAGCCCTCATAAGCCTTCCTTGAACCCTCTAAAGCCTCCACAAAGCCTCATAAAACCCAGCAGAGCCCTCATAAGAGACCGAAAAGCCCATCATAAGCGCCTTTACAAAACCACCACAAACCCTTCTCCAATAAAACTCCTCAACCTTAAAGCCTTTGACAGCCTCGAAGGAGTCACCGAGATCCGGGCGAGGCTCTGGGCTCCACTCGGCGGTCGCGCCGAGCAGCTGAGCGCCAAGTTTGGTGGTGCCTTCGAAGAAAATAGCATGCGTACATATACATGTAGAAATGCATGTACATATACATATATAATATGTGCATGTAAATGTACATGTACATGTACATGTACATGCATATACATACATACATACATACATACATACATACCTACATACATACATACGTACATGCA